CATATAAAATTATATAAATATATAATTTACATATTTTATTTATATAAGTTTATATAAATAAAATATATTATATATAATATAATAATATATTATTATCTGATTTTTCAAAGCCTGTTCTAATGACAAGACTGGATCTTCCTCAATGACTCTTTATATCCTTCCATTTGCTCCTTCTCCAGGTCCTGCTAATTCGCCCTAACCACCTCTCCCTCACCTATCCCTTCCTCCTAATTCACCTGTCTTCCTCATCTGCCTTCATTCCTTGTCTCCAGTGAAGATACCCGGTGGGTCCTTCTACTCTCCCCTCTTTCACATCCATCTTCCTCATCCTAGCTCCGGTAGCTCTACAAACCTCATGGTCAAATGTTTGAAGAGAGATCCACCCATTCAGGGTGAGCTCACGAAGCAGAATTAGTGGCGGGGAGAGGAAGAGGTTGAATGTATGCCTTGAGGTTTAGCTGGCTCTGGGTTTAAATCCTGGTTCCTTTACCTACCACCATCTGTGAGAGATTGGCAGTGTTACATTTTTTCATCTGTGAAATGAAGATAAAAAAACTCAAAGTTGAACCAGATTACTTCTAAAGTTAGTTCTGACCTTGACACATTATCATATTAAAGCAACCTCAGCTCAAAACTTTTCAGTGATTCCCACTATGTACCAAGTTGAATGTAGAAACCAGTTCCTCTAGATACTAGTTCTAGCCTATCTTTTATATCTCATCTTTCCCAGCTCAGCTCATCCTTGTGCTAGCTCTTACATTCCTGCCTTTATACTTACTATGCCCCTTATTTGGAATACCCTCCAGTATTCTGTAAACAAACTCCCTATAAAAATGTAAGGCATTGTACCCCACCTGTTGAACCCTATCATCTGTTAGGAAATTTGTTTTCGTTGCAAGTTACAACAACCCCAACTAAAGCTACTCAAACCATAAAGACATATTGGTTTCATGGAAAAGTCCAAAGGTGGGTCAAGCTTCTGGTATGGTTATATCAGGTCTCTGGCTCATTTTTTCAACAATGTTTTCTTAGTGCTGCCCTCTTTGTGATGGCTTTATTTCTCTGGCTGGCTTTTCCTCGTGGTGGTTGTGATGGTCAATTTTATGTGTCAACTTGATTGGGCTAAGGCCTGCCCAATAGGTGGTAAAACATTTCTGGGTGTGTCTGTGAGGGTGTTTTGGGAAGAGATTAGCATTTGAACTGGTACACTATGATCACCCTCACCAATGGAGGTGGGTGTCATCCAATCTGTTGAAAACTGGATAGAATAAAAAGGCAAATTTGCTCTTTGCTTGAACTGACATCCATCTTCTCTTGCCCAGGACATTGGACATCACTGATCCTGGTACTTGGGCTTTTGGACTTGGACTGAATTATACTACTGGCTTTGCTGGAGCTCTAGCTTGCAGATGGCAGATGATGGGACTTCTTGGCCTCTATAACCATGTGAGACAATTCCTATCATCAGTCTATTCTTTATTTTTTAAAAAACTTTTTATATTTTTAAATTTTTATTTATTTGAAAGAGAGAGGAAAAAAAAGGAGGTGGGGGAGAGAGAGAGAGAGAGACAGACAGACAGACAATGTGCACACAAGTGAGAGGGGCAGGGAGAGGGAAACAGAATCCCAAGCAGACTCAAGCCTGAGCATGGAGCCTGATGTGGGGCTTGATCTCAAGACCTCAGGTCATTTCCCTTCATGCTCTAATCTTCAGGGGTTCTTTTGGACAACACAGAGTATTCCTAACACATCTCTATTTAATTCATAGTCATTCATTCAACAAATATTCATTCTAGAGACTGAGGAATGAGCAAAACAGATAAAAACCCTGTCCTTGTGAAGATCACAAAAAAATGTAGTGGAAGGTGGGGACAGAAAAGAGACAACAAACAAATGAACACATATTTCAGGTGGTAGTAAGTTCTATGGAGAAAAATCCAGCAGGAAAGGGTACAGAGAAGTAGGGTGATGCTATTTTATTTTTTTAAGATTTACTTATTTATTTATTTTGGGGAGAGTGAGTGAGCCAGCAGCAGGAGGGGCAGAGGGAGAGGGAGAGAAAGAATCTCAATATCAAAGAACCCCATATCACACTCTGCCCTGAGCTTAGAGTGTGATATGGGGCTCAATGTCACGATCCTGAGATCACGACCTAAGCTAAAACCAAGAGTCAGATGCTCAGCCAACTAAGCCACCCAGGCACTCCAGGGTGTTGCTAATTTATTTATTTATCTTTATTTATTTATTTGGCAGAGAGAAAGCATAAGCAGGGGGAGCAGCGGGCCAGGGGAGAGGGAGAAGCAGGCTCCCCGCTGAGCAAGGAGCTTAACTCAGGGCTCAATCTCTAGATCATGACCTGAGCTGAAGGCAGACGTTTAACCGTTTAACCGGCTTAGCCACCCAGGTGCACCATGGTGTCGCTATTTTAAATGTGGGCCAGGGGAGGCCTCTCTGAGGAAGTGACATTTGAGTGGAAACCTGAAGGAGTGAGCCATGCCCATTCGAGGAGGAGAGCATTTGAGGCAGACACAAGTGCAAAGGCCCTGAAGTTAGCAGTATGCTTGGCATGTCAGAAGAACAGCAAGGCCAGTGTGGCTGGAGGAGAGTAAGAGGAGGCAAAAGCAATTCAGGAGGGGATAAGGTCAGAATGGTAGCAGAGAGCAGGTCAGGACCTATGAAGCTGTGAATATAATCCTCAGTGCCAGCAGGAAGAGGATTATCACCTGCACAGGCAAGTTTTATAATAGAGGCTATGAACAGGGAGGGGTGAACAGCTGGTGGTGGGGCTGATGGGAGGTCAGAGAAAGTCTTTCAGAGGAGGTGGTTCCGGCGCTGAGTTTTGTTTTGTTTTTAAGATTTTATTTATTTATTTAACACAGAGAGCGAGATCACAAGTAGGCAGAGAGGCAGGCAGAGAGAGGAGGAAGCAGGCTCCCTGCTGAGCAGAGAGCCCGATGTGGGGCTCCATCTCAGGCCCCTGAGATCATGACCTGAGCCGAAGGCGGAGACTTAACCCACTGAGCCCCCCCTGCCCCGGCACTGGGTTTTGAAGGATGAACAGGAGGTATCTAGGCAGAAGGGGAAGAGCAGTCCAAGGAGAGAATTATGCTATAGCAGAGGCTGCTGAGAGACTGTGGTGTATTCCAGTACACATGGTAAGGCCAGTACAAAGGGAGGGAGGCCAGTGGCTAGGAGTGGCCAGAAGCAGAGCAGAGGAGACTGGCAGGGATCAATTCCTTAATGGGTTGATTGAGTCATTTACTGAAGTGTTTATTGAACATTAGGTCTATACCAGCCATTGCACCAGGTCTGGTAACAGTGATGTACTCAACCAAAGATTCTTGGTCTTAAGGAATTTACCTTCTAGTGGGGAGACAGACAAAAACATACAAACAGACCAAATAAATGACAAGACTAAGAAATGCCATGAAGGAAATGAATGAGTCCAAATTAGAGAACATCTTTAGGTGGGGTGTTCAGGAAAGTACTCTCTGAGGAGGTGATATTTAAACGGAGTTAGAAGGGGCAGGGGAAGAATGTTCTTGGCCTTGGTCTTCAGTGTTACTATCTCTCTAATTTGATTTCTTCCTCTGAAGGGAGACTTGGAGATCATCAAACAACATAGCAGAGTTGTAATTGTTGGTGTGGCAGGGCCAGGATTCCATTCAAACTCTGCCGTTTTTAGGACTTGGCAGGTTCTGGGGGTAGCAATGTGAAAAATACAATCATGAAATCACAGGTCGGCCACATGGAGACTTTCGACAGCCCTCAAGGAAGTCTATATAGCTGAGGACTGAAGGGCAATGGTCTTCGTGTGCTCTTGGAAAGCCCCTCCGATTGTTCCGTGGAGGCTGGAACACTGATTTGGGTCAGAGTTTCCGGCAGGAGAAATTTTCAGGAGAGAGGACCATGACCCAGATAGGGTTATAAAACATTTCCGACACCCTAGAAGGGTAAAGGTACTTAAAACCTCCTTTGTAGGTGGGAGTGGCACGTCCTCCCCAAACCCAACCCAATTGCGGCCTCTTCGCCCAGTCCTAGACTAAGCAGCGAGGAGCTATCCTCCTCCACTCCACCCGGTTCCCTGAAACTGAGAGGACCTGGAGCTCCTTCCTACTGCGTCCCTTACGCACTCCTCGGGCACCGCCCCCCGCCAACGTGTTTGGGTCCCATCTCCAGGCCCCGCCCACCTCCAGCTCCAGCCTCGCGACCCGCCCTTGGTCACGCCTCCTTCCGGCTCATCCCCACAGCGGCCACCTTTGGGCCCCCTCCTCCCTGTTCTCTTTCCCGGCCCGCCTTCTTCTGTCCCGCTTCAGTTTTTCCTCCTTTCTGGATCTCTCTTCCGCACCGTCTCCCGCCCCCTCTTCTAAGGGCTCCGCTTCCTCCAGCCTTGCCTCAGTTTCCCTCCACCCTTGACTCCTCCTATGGGCAAGGCCTCCCTTTAGCCCCACCCGCAACCTCTCCTTCCAAGTGCAGCCCTGCTCCTGGCTCCGCGTGGCCTCCACCGTCTTCCATACCTGCTTTGCGCTTCTCTCTTCTCCGGCATCATCACCCTCTCAACCCTGCCCCCCTTCGGCTCGCTTATTGGTGTAGGAGAGTCTCTGTCTCTCCCACCCCAACCCTTCCAGTCCTTAGCCCCGCCTCCCCAGGCTCCCTCCTCAGTCCCTCCTCCCCGTCAAGGCCCCGCCCTGGCCCCGCCTTCCTCTTCTCCCCGCCGGAGCTCTGGACCTTTCCAAAGCGAGGCTGAGGGGGTGGGGAGAGCTCGTGCACTCGGGAAGCCGGGCTCTGTCAGGGTGGGGCTGCGGACTCCCAGCGCTGTGTCCCCGTGTCCTCCTCCGGAGACAGAGGCGAGGGTGGGGAGGGAGGGCCCAGGACCAGGGCCGGAGCGGCGGGCGGAGCCAAGCTGAGGAAAGCCGTTCGGGGCGCCCCCACCCCCGCGCGCTTCAGTGGTGCCGGCCGAGGGAAGGACTCGCGGCTGCGGGGCTCGCGCCGCTGTCAGTGCGGCGGGGCGCGCGAGTGGCGCGGGCGTAGGGCGGGCGCAGCCGGGAGAAGCTGAGGGGGCGGCAGCGGCGGCGGGGACGACTCCCGCGCGTGTGCTCAGCTCCTCACGCCGCGGCTGGGGCCGCCTTATTCCTCCTTCTCTCCCTCCCTTCCGCCCCCGAGTGCGGCGGCACCGCCTCCTTCCGCGCCGCGCGGCTTCCTCCAGACCTCTCGGCGCGGGTGAGTGGGGGCCACGGGCGCCTCCTTAGGGGTGCGGGGTACTGTTCCTTGTTCCTTTTCGGCCACCAGCCTCTTCGCGCGGGTTGCTGCCTATTTTTAGAAACTCTTTTTTTCGGCCATTCTGGGCGTCCCAGGAGCGGGAGTAACTCCCGGCCCCCCCCCCCCCCCCCCGCACCTCCCCCAGCAAACCCCGTGTCGCTGACCCGGCCCTTCAGCGCCTGCCCCCGGCCGCCTGGCGTTCCTTGGCCGCTTCCTCCTCGCGGGCCGGGCCTGGGCTAGGAGTTGACGGGGTGGGCCCGCGCCCGCTCGGAAGTTGAAGTCTTTGTGCTCGAGCCCCGCCCCGCCCGGCGAGGGGAGGAGGGAGAGGAGCGGAGGCCGCGCAGGGGAGGCCTGGGCGGGCCGGGCCCGGGCTCTGATCCCGGTCTGGGCTTCTGGCTCCCCCTCCCGGGCTCGGTCTGCCGGCTCCCCGAGGCGCGCACAGCTAAACCTGCCTCGCTCCCCACGGGCCTCAGCGCCGCCTTGGCCCCCAGCGCTGCCGTTGCTGGGCTCGTTGCACACCTTGGGGCTCAGGAGCAATAACGCGCCCTCGAGCTGGGGCGGTGTTCCGCACTTCACGCAAGCCCCACCGTGCAGCCGAGCTTCAGTTTGCCCCTCCTTAAAATGGGGAAAAGAAAGTCGCTTCGCAGGATGTTTGTGGATTTAGGGAACTAGTATGTGAGAGAAGCGTTTAATACCAACAGGTAACATTTAATGGACTTGACGAGGAACTTAGTAAACCTTATTTAATTCTCAGGACGGCCTTCTGGGGATATCCCCCTTTACAAAAGCAGAAGGCAAGGCGCAGAGAGGTAAAATAATTTGCTCCCAATCACAGTTAGTAGCTACAGAAGTGTAAAGCCGTGGTACTAGAAGTACCTGTTATTTATTTCTTAGTGTGAGCTTGTGTAATCCCTTAGTGCAGAGAGGATTTTGACTTACCCTTGGGTCACTCCGTTTTCCCTGACTCCTAGGGTAGTGTCCGTTGTACTATGGATGAAATCCCATTCTGGGGATACGGGAGGTCCGAGGGGAAGGAAATGACTATGAATTTCTTGTTAGTATTGCCCCGTAGAATTTGATGAATGTAGGGGACTCCAGATCTCAATCTCAGCTGACGTTCTCTGGGTTTTTGGCTCAAGGAAGTCTTAAGTCCTAATAGTGAGGTCTATCCTTTATTTTATTTGTGGGATTCCCCCCCCCCCCCCCCCCCCAGCAAGACCTTTTGTGTTCTCTATAGTGTTTAGATTTCTAGCTCCTGCTTGGGGAGGGAGAAGCAGGAAATGGCTCAAGTCAACTGCTTCCAACTCCCTGCTTGAAATAGGGTTTTATTTTTCCTTTTTTCAGATGAGACCAAGAGTGGGTAAAAGTGAACTAAAATTAACTTTGGCAAGTTTCTAGTTTTCCAGTGTGTTTGATCTCTCTTATGGGGAATGTTTAAAAATACGAGTTCCTGGGCCGCATCTTGAAGGAGTCTTCTGATGTTTTGTATTTGTTCTTTGCAGTCTGGAGATCTGTTGTGCTCTCCTTTTTACAAAATTCTGCATTTAGGAGTTGTATGTAGCACCTGGAAGGGGTCTTTACCATCTGGTCTTTTTTATCTGCCTTGTTCCCCCTACCCTGTTAGCACTGGAAAGGGGAAGTAAGTTGTCTAAATTTGCCTTAGTGACAGAATCAGAATTATAATTCCCAGTCTTTTGGTTTGCAGACCAGTAATAGTTTTATTTCTGCCATCCCTTGACACCTTTGGAAGGGGCACTAAATTACTTATTCAGGCCTTAACAGACCAGGAATCCTGAGTAAATTTAGATCTTGAGAAAGTTCGTTAGTTCCAACCTCTCTCCATGCCTCAGGTTTAGCATTAAAAGGAGTTCAGGTTCTGTGCACAGGTGTACCAGTTCTCATTAGTCATTACTCTTATCATATGGTACTTTGTTTATGGTGTATAGTACTCTTCTGGAGTCATCCCATTTCTAACCCAGTTCTGTGAGAGGTCTTGAGAGTTTGCTTTAAGTCTCCTTTTTACAGCTGTATTGAGAATTGAGACACAGCAAGATCGGGGCACTTGCCTTGGTAAGTCACTAAAGTAACAAGTGGTGAGGACAGGACACCTTTCATGGGCAGAGGATTTGATGTAGCATCATTAACTGAGCCACTCATTGTGGCTCTGTGATGCTGTTTGTGTGGAGACTGAGAAATGGCTGTGAAAGTCTTATTGTAGTAGTAGGAGGAGGAGAAATAATACCTAACACTTATTAAGTACTTACCGGGTACCACTTCCTGGACTAAGGACTTTCTGTGGGGTATCTCGTTTATTCCTCAGAGCGGAATGTTTGAATTAGGTATCATTATCCCTGTTTTGCAGAGGTAGGAACAGGCTTAGAGAGGTTACATGACTTGCTCAGGGTCATGTAATTGATAACCTCAAACAAAATAACTTTGAAGCCAGTGTGGGTTTTGTTCTGTTCTTTTCTTTCTTTTTCTTTTCTTTCTTTGGTAAAAACATACATGAGGTAAAATTTGCCATTTTAACACTTTTAAATGGATAGTTGTCTGGCATTAAGTACATTAACATTGTTGTGCACCCATCACCACTAACTGTTGTTGTCTAGAACTTTATCTTCCCCAACTGAAAATCTGTACCCATTAAACACCAACCCCCTGTTCCCGAAGCTCCTGACAACCACTGTCATATTTTGTCTCTGAATTTCATTACTTTAAGAACCCCATATAAGTGGAATCCTACCTTTTTTTTGTCCTTTAGTGACTGGCAAAGCTGGCACTTTTAATGCCCCCCTTTACCTCAGGGTGCTTTGTAAATGCAAAATGATTAGTCCTTATCTGCAGTAGGGTGTGGCATGCAGCCCCAGAGCTGGAACTGAGGCCTAGTGGTACCTCTGGCTAAGCTCTTTTCCTGCTTTTTTTGCTATAGATTGGAGTTCCTTATCACAGAAGCCTTTTCTGGAAATCTCTGCCCCTTTTTTATCTTCCAAAGAGACCTCCTACCCTTGAAATAGAACACAGAGGACATCCACCCTGGCCTTGTTTGCACCTGCCTTTCCGACTATCCAGGGTTTGGGCATATCAGGCTGCAGTGATGAAGAATAGCAGTGCTGTGACAGCAGCTTGGATCAGAACTACTCAGAGGACGATTAAATGGATTACCTTTATGAAATGCACTCTCTCTGCTCTCCTCTTTCCATAAAGTCACACAAAAAGGATTAGCTTTGGGTTCCTAGAGGGTGTTTGTGAATACTCGCTGCTTGCAGGTGGTTAAGATGGAGTTAAATGCCTTACAAAATTCCTTAGGTTTGACTGTTTCTCTGTGTTTGGGACATGGTAGAATATGGTGTTTTTGAAAGGTAGTTGGAATTTTGTGTTGATACCAGCGGGGTGGGGTGGGAGGTGTTCCAGAGATGGATAATAGGGCAACAAACAGATCTGAGCATGTTGCACTTTGCTTAAAGATCTGATGGCTTAACATTACCTATGTATTAAGTCCAAACCCCTGAGTGCGATAATGAGGTCTGAATGTGTTGAATTGTTTATTGGATAAGATCTTGTAGTTGAAGGGCTTTTAAAGCCCTGTCGGCCAGCCAGCCATCTGGCCAACATTTGAATTGGCTACTTGCTGGGATTCGGTTCCATTGGACACTTCATTATTAGAAAGTTTTCCATTTACAGAAAAATTATTAAGCATCTGCCATGCACAGTCCTAAGCTTGGGTGGGATGTGAGTCTATACAGCCTTGCGGGGAAGGCAGGCAAGGAAACAGGCAATGTGAGAAGTGTTGTGAATAGGGATAAATGCTATTAGAGCCTAGATGAGTGGTAACTAACCCAGCCTTGGAGGTTTCTTCAAAGAAGTTGGCTGAGCTCAGATCTCAAGAAAAATAGAGACATAAGGCAGGAGGAAAAGATATTTGGAGAGTTGAGGAGGAGACAAAGATAAGACTAGGCAGAAGGAATAGCACGTCTCGAGGTGGTGGTGGTAATAGTTGAGACTTTTGGCCATTTCCGATATCAGGTGCTACTCTAAGCATTTAACACGTGTTATTTTTTCCTATAACCACCCGAGTACATACTATTGTTATTCCTATTCTGTAGGTGAGGAGCAGACCCAGAGGGGTTAAATACATCTCTCTCGTTGCTCAAGATTCCTGGGTGGAGCATAAAGCAAAAGATGGGTGAATGTGACAAGAGAGGAGATGAGACTGGTAAGGTAGGTAGAGCAGAAGCCAAGTGATGAGAGGGCCTTGTTGCCCCAGTTGAGGAATTTGGACTTCATTGCAGGGTGAGGGGGGCCATGCTCCTGTGGGCATTTTAGAAGGATATCTCTGGCTACCTGTTTGGGAAGTGGTTTGGAGGACTAGAGCACCATGGGCAAAAAGACCAGTTAGGAGGAGGCTGTTGTGGTAATACAAGTAGGAGATGATGGTGTTTCAAATGAAGAATGTGTATATGTAGAAGGAATTGAGCACTGAGACATAACAGTTACTGGTGTGGAGAGTCATCAAGGATGACTTCTTAGACTTTTACCTGGTGCAGTTCTGTAGATGGGGATGCTCTTTATTGAGGTGAAGACATAAGAGAGGAGGTGTATTTCTCATGCAGGATCGTCTTATGTCTGCTTTCCTTTACCTTCTAGTTGTTGATCTAGTTCTCCATATGGAGGGTTGGGGGTGGGGGCATGCATGAGGGACAGTATTGCGCAACACATTTGGTAACTATTCCTGGCTAAACTAGATGATGTAAACACTAGTTTAGAAACGGAGGACATACTAGATCCCAGGCATTTAGGCCCTGCATAACCCTGAAGACTGCTTACGTTAAGCCAAGGAAGGCTTATGTTTTTCCTAGACAATGCCCTTTGGTACTGAGATTCTTTCCATCTGCTAATGTGGCCCTCTCTAAGTCACCTGTGTTTACTGCCTGCTAGGCACTGGGAAAACAAGGTAAATAAAA